ACACACACACACACACACACACACACACACACACACACACAACACACACCACACACACACACACACACACACACACACACACACACACACACACACACACACACACACACACACACACACACACACACACACACACACACACACACATATATATGATGTATAGAGTTATATTCCTATGTCTGCTCCATAAGGAGGTGTCTTCTGGATTAGATGGTGTGATTTTGTATCTTTAAAAAGACACTTCAGTTTACAATATATTCAGCTTATTGACGAGGGAATTCTGCAGTTGAATAGTGATTATCCGGTGTGATATATCTTATTTCTGGCTATTTCATTTCTATATAGCTTAAATATTTAATTCGAGTACTGTATTTGATGTTGTTATGTCAGATTTCTTATGATTCAGAAATTTAGGGATATATTTTTTAAACTGAGGAATGTCTTTAATGATATAATGATTTGTATATAAATTCCAGCTCTCTCTTTATTGTTTTTTACAATTATTTTTTACTATGAAACCCTCTGTACATGAAGGCTTTCACATAGGAGGGTTAAGGTAACCACTCCTTAATTTTTCATGTTTATTTCTCGTCTTGATGACTACAGTACAGTAAACACACACACACACACACACACACACACACACACACACACACACACACACACACACACACACACACACACACACACACACACACACACACACACACACACACACACACACAGTCACACTCACACTCACACTCACACTCACACTCACACACATTCACATCACACTCACACTCACACTCACACTCACACTCACACTCACACTCACACTCACACTCACACACACACTTACATTCACATTCACATTCACATTCACATTCACATTCACATTCACATTCACATTCACATTCACATTCACATTCACATTCACATTCACATTCACACTCACACTCACTCACACTCACACTCACACTCACACACACACACACACACACACACACACACACACACACACACACCACACACACACACACACACACACACACACACACACACACACACACACACACACACACACACACACACACACACACACACACACACACACACATACATATATATATATGCACATGCACACACATTATATAAACTGTAAATAGCTTTCTTGTTATGAATTCTGCCTGATTATTATTTTCTCATTGGAATGACGAAATAGTAACACGTGATAAAGTTGGGGGCGTATAGGTGGTGGAATGAAAGGAGGTCTTTTTTTGCTGGTTTATTGGGGGAGGAAATGTGTGACACCATGAAAGACCCCGTGCCCCGTGTGCCGAGGGCGGAGGTTGACCTCCTCTGCCTCCTCTGTTGTGTGACTACTCTTGTTCTCCTGTCTGCTCGGTCTCTCCTGGTCTGCCTGGCAAGACGTCCTTTTATCCAGTGACTCCAGTCCTGGGCAGGTGCCTGCTTCTAAATTTTGGGGTGTCAGTATTTCCGGCCGTGACAAAGGGGGTGAGTTTGCTAGAATTGCTTGAGGGGGAGAAAGTATAAGGCTTTGGCAAACATAGCTCAGGCATGGTGGGTGCAATGCTGGGAAGTCAGGCAACACCTAGGGCCTAGGTGCAAGGCAAGCCCATCTGGTTGGCCATATTGTTGACAACACTGAAGAACTACCCTGATGCAAAATAAATTGCAAACAATACTACAAATGTAATTCTTTATATGTAAGTAGAAAAAAGCTTCAAAAACGGTGGCCAAAACTCATACTGATGCCATCTGTCTTGTTTTCACAGACATTTTTTCTACAAGTTCATAAGACACTATTGCATCTCTTTGAAGTACTTTCTGTCGCAATATTATCATCAACTGGGAATGATGCAGGATCTTAAAACTCCTTTCTCTTTATGTTGTGTTTGAAGAGCGAGTAAATTGGAAAGAAAGATGGATGTTATTAATATCTACGGATATATTTAGTTTTGATAATTACAAAGAGTTGGACATTGGCTTTTTCAATTTAATGTTTTTTGAAGTTTGAATTTGTTGCTGTTGTAAGTGACCTTTTTTTTCTTTTATGGCATGTTTCTTTTGACTTTGTCTTTCTGTGTTTAGCTCCATTAAAAACTTTTTCAATATTTTTGTAAAATAGCCTAATCTGATATTTGACTGGTGTGTTTTATGTTCGTGCAATAAGTAAGAAAAATCATTGTATATATATTTGATCATATATTTCTTCATTTACTTTTCGAAACAGTTATTTGTAGGGAAAATCATTTTTCATCTCACACAAATGTTTGTTATGACCAGATCACCTTGCAATTTACTGTTTTATAAGATTGATAGTTTTATTTTCTACATTTTACATGTAAATAATGCAAGAAAAGAAAATACCTTCCAGCATTAAGAATTCAGTTAAAATGATAGGGTTTAGGTATAGGTGTACTTTTTTTTTTTTAGTTATTTGAGATTTGGCTTTTAATGCAATGGTTGACAACAGTAAAGTGATTTTTTAACTTTG